CCAAAGAAGTTAATTCTCCGTTAACAGTTTATTTTCTGGCATCCCGATGCCTTTGTATATGAAAAACAGATAGAAATAAATGTTGACTGAACCACAACAACATAGTCGCAACCGTCCCTAAATGTAATGAAAAGTAAACATATGAAGCAGAAACTAAAAAGTTTATTAGTTATCAGAGTTGTTTCATGTTATCACTCCTCCCTGCATTTTGAAATAATAGTTTTGTACAAGATGAGCAGAACATAAAAAAAATTAGAAATGAATCACTGCTTATGCTTCGTTTCTGCGTCTCTCCTGTGTGTGCGTGTCCCCCCTCCCAATTTAAGTGTTATTGGTCCTTTCATCAGTCAGTCAGTTTGAGAACATAAAACTATCTCAGTCATTTAATATTAGTAACAGCATTTCTTCAAATGTAACCTCCTTCCAAGCATACACAATGGGCTCTTTCTGACATGCTAAAATTGTTGGAAAAGCATGACAGTAAGTGTGGTGCTAACTAACAGACGTTAATAGGAAAAAAAACCCCAATAGATAATACTAAGTACTTGGCAACTGTATAGCTACCTTTGACAAATCAAGAAGTTTAAATCATTTAATAGTATGGCTTAAATACGGAAATCAATGTATGAAGCTTACTGCAATTCTAAAAGGAACACCAGTGACTACATACAGCACAATAGCAAAGTTTCAGTGACTAAATAATGCCACAGGAACCCAGAGGTAGAATGAGAGATTTATGCACTTTATTAAAAATGTAATACAAATTAGTGTTACTGGAGTCACTGAAACTAGCAAGAAGGATGGATACACAAGTACAAAGGCTATAGCACTGCTAAAACCCACTGTACTCCCCAAATGCCACTTTCTTAGAGATTGTATCATTTTCAAAAATAAGGGAGAAAAGAAATATCACATAATGGGGGAAAAAAATAATAATCGAAAACTACAACACCCACTGACTTCACTGTAATATAAGCTTTTGTCCTTCATGAGAGTGACATGGGGATTCAGGGTAGATTGGCCAGCCACCTGAACCTGGAAGCACAGGTTCTTCTATGTTGAGTAACTTCTCTCCACCTACAAGTTGACATTCAATATTGCTTGTAATGTTTCATATAAGCAAATCAGAATAGTAAAAAAAATAAATTAAATCTGCTTCAACTCCACTCAATTACATCTCCCAGAAAAGTTTAGTTGACATTTCAGCCAAATATATCTTGAGCCATCTACCCAACTTCATGCCTGAGAACACGCGTGATGACATAGAAAAAGTTCAGTTTTGAAATTCAGCGATTCCCTCACTTCTTAAGATTTATTTAACTGCTTTAGCATACACAAACAGGAACTACATCTGACTGCAACTGAAGCAAATAACAACTTCAGATTTCTTTTGTAACAAAAAGAGGAAAGATTTTTAATGATGATTCCGTTATGCAAGAATAATGAAAAATCTTAATAAATCAGATGACACGCTAAGATCTGGGCAAGTTGTTAACAGTCTTGAGTCTTTTATGTGATCTCTTTCACTAGCATACTGACTTGATTTTTAACGATTATTCTCTCATGAACTAAAAACAATAGATCTGTATGTTTTCTACTCTCTGAAGAATGGATTAAGATAAGCTTCATTAGCAAAACCCAACCTTGCCAAAGGAACGGCAATTGAACACTGACTTCAGAAATAATTTCGTAAGATTCACCTACTATGGTAACTCCAGTACAAATAACCACAAAGCTGAAACTACGGTAAAAAATAAATACTTTAAGCAAGCATGGTCAGTCTCATAGCATGGTGACATCTGCAAAGTTACGTGACTGACAATCAAAACCACACAGCAAAAAGTTCTGTGTTTTCCCAGTCATTTGAAGACATATAAATTAGAATTACTAACTAGTTTCAATAGCAGGAAATGCATGTTAATAGCACGAATTTCTAAGCAACATATTGCTCCAGGAAGAAAGGTGACAGGAAAAGGCAAATCTAAACTCTGTGGCAATGGTTTAGAATAGCTAATTGTAACCTTTTTCTTGATTTTTAACAAGTACATTTTGTTAAACTTAGAAGCTGTTCAGTTGGTAATCAATCAACAGTGTTTGAAAGCTAAGATGCAGCAAGAAGTGAGACTCGTGGAGAAGAGTGTACTTTTGCAGAGCACTTTCTTTTTCTCATTGAGACATAGACTGCATGTAATTTCTCATTTAATCCATTCATAGATTATTTACCATCTCATTTTCATACATTAAAATCCAAAGTTCTCGTACTTGTTTTATTATTCTATTTATTTACAATATCAAAACTTAGAATCAGTGTATTAATAAGAACTTCTCTCCTTAGCAGTAGACTAATTCATATAAAACAAGCAATTCTTTCTGTATCTCCTCAGCTACCCGTAAAACAACCCAGACAGGTCATGCAAGGCAACAGAAAGATTATCCACAACCATGTAACAGCAGTACAGATGTCCCTCAAGTCCAGCATTGTGAGAAGACTTGGAGTGGACCAGCTGGTCCTCTCCTGAAAAGAGGGAAATCAGCAAGATGAGGCCAAGGCCAGAATACCCAAGAGATGCACTAAATCAGTGCAATTTCTGCAGCAACCTCCCACAGGCAGGACTCTAGAGCTTAAAATCTGTTTTCCTTGGCAAATGCCACACCGAATGAGTCTACAACCCCCACAGGATTGCTATTACCACTACCCTTCAAGTGAGTATTTTCACTGGCACAGCTGCCATTCGAGGTGAAAGGAATATAGAATGAGAGAAGGCAGACCATAAACCAATGAAGTTCACGTGCAACAACTACGGATGTACCAATACATTAAAAACATACTGAGTTCAAAATGCAAAACTAATGCCACTAGGGACCTGTAACTTTTATACCTTCACTAATATAGAAAACCTATTCTGTCAAGAAGTCATCTGAGAGGAAGAAGAGTACAGGTTAAGGAAAAGTTTCGTTTCAGAAGAGGATCTTCTCTGCAACTCAGGGAAAACAGACTAAGTGAGAACATCTCTAACCCTGCCCTACCAATCTAAGTATACAGGGACAATGTACAGGGACACTAGGAGCAACAAATCTCTCCCCATCCCCAACTTCTTCACCTGTGACAGCAACATCACTTAATGTATTCCTGGAAAGCAGACAGACACTCCACAGCTAAGAAGGACACAAAAACCTACAGAGAACAAAGTATTATAGAATTTGAGGAATATCAAGGAGAAAGATTTGAACCTACTTCCCATGCTTCACTGTATACATTTTTCTGACAATTAGATGTCAGCATAGAAAACATTTCACTACTCATAAGCATACTTATAGAGTCTGTAACATAAACACAAAGTATAAAAAAATAAAATAAAGATCAGGACATTGCAGAAGACTGGCAGCACTAGGTCAGACAAAGAAGCCGTGGCAGTTCAGCATCTGTCTCAAAGAGCAGATGTCCGTGAAACTGTATGAGAACACGGCCAGCACAGAGCATTACTTGCCCAAAATACTGTTCCCAGCCTCCAGAGATTTGCATCTCAGAAACTTCCCGAGTCAAAGACCACAGATTGAAAAGCTACCTGAATCATCTGTATGTTAGGTATCCAGCTTTACATACCTCGCTATGTAAAAATAGGCAACAGTACTCATTTTTACAAGTTGAGTATTTTCACAAAAAAATAAAATAAAATTGGCTAGTCAGACTTCCTCCAAGATATCCAGAGCTTTATTGCATATAATCAGCCTTTTGCTAAAAGGAGTGTAGTAAGCCATTTGGTTAACTATCACAACAAATCATTATTAATAAAGTTCTGCTAAATCCAAACTTTAGATATCTTAACAACTCACCCAAAACTTTTTTCAAGTTCATTAACCTCTAGCATATTTTTTTCTCTAAATACAGGCTGTTAGAGTGGTACTTTCTTCCATCTGTTAAACAACCGTGCTCTGAATTACACAGAAATGTAGCTGAATAAAAAAGTGATTCATTGAATTTAATAGTTTAGGCGAGGCTCTATTTTATTTCCAGTTACTCAATGGTAGAATTCTCACAAAGCCCAAAGAGTAGAAGACTTGGATGAACATGAAGACTTCTGTTAAGTGATAAAAATCTGAGGGCTTTTTTTCCCCCCATGTAAAATCTCAACCAACTTAACTTTTTTTCCTTAAAGACCGAGTAAAAGCTGCCAGATCTGTTTCTGGATGTTCACTCTTGGGGAGAGCAGGGGGATAGCACAGAACAAAACAAAATCCATACACACAACCAAAACCCTGCAAACAGTCAGACAATGGCATTTTCTACGGCAAAAGGAAAAATTCCTGCAGTTACCAAAACTCAAGCTGCAATAAATAATTGACATGTTAACCTTCTGGTGTTTTCTACAAATGTGTAATGAATAGTACAGTAAATGGCTTTGGGAGCTATATCCAAGGATAGAATAAGCTCAGGCAAAGTCTCTCGTCACGCAATGTTTGCATTGTACCACATCTCCACTGAGTAAAGGACTTAAACACCCTCCTCACATATGTGAGCTTACCTCCTACTCATAGACAGTAATATTACCTTTTGATTGTTTAATCTTGAATGAAGCTTAACATGATTATGTTCATTTATACATTCCTGGTCATTCTGCTGCAGAAACTTCAGGTTATTAATCTGAGAACTGCTATGCTTCAAGGTGCTGCTGTACGCTACAGTTTCAAATGGCATTTAAAATGTCTTTGTCCTACCAAACACAGCAACAGCAAAAAGAACGTAGCTGCACTCTCCCCTGGTCTTCTTCCTGCCCAAAAGCATGCTACTGGAGCTGAACATTGCCTTTTCTTCATACTAGTAATTAATTTTCATAAATTATAGCTCATAACTCACTTATTTAAATCTCTACTTTTAAGATGACCGAGGGCTGCCCATGCAGTCAATGACTGCAAGTACCTGTAACAACTGTGGGGAAGCCTGTGGCAAAAAATTAGCAGAATGAAATTAGTATTACAGCATGTAATAGGATAAGGGGTACCTGGTGAGGTGCAGTTGGTGCTCAGATTTACTCAGCAGTTCTGTCAGTTTTAGGCACTCCTCTCTGGCTCCTGTCACATCCTGCTGGGCTTGTTCCAAACGCTGTTTGTTTCCATTCAGCTCTAATCCTAGTTTTTCTATTTTCTTAGAAAATTGTAGAACGAGAAAAATATATTTAAGAAATACACAGAGGTATATTTTAAGACACTAAATCTTAATGTGATCAAAGGTCCTGAAAAATAATGCACTTTTGTTTTAGGACAAAAGTAGTTTGTTGATAAAAACTGCAAAACAAGCAAATTAAAGTATTTAAAATTACATTCTCATGAAAGGCAAAATGCATATGATATTTAAATATATTAATACACAATCAAGGTTATTGTCTTCATGCAGCTTAAGAGACACATGCATTCAATCATTTCTCGACTTTTTCATGTGAAGGCTTCCATATTTGTGTCCTGAATTCACTGTGTTAGAAAGCCAGAAGGCAGCAGAACAGCAGCCATCTTCAGAAGCTGCTGGACATAGGATAACTCTTGTGGTCATTTATTTTGCTAATCTATTACATAAGCAATGACACGTGGGAATTTAGCTTTGTCATAGTCACATAATATTATGCAAGAGAATAAAGGTCATTTGTGATTTTACTATTATTGAAAATAAGTTATTTATTACTTATAACTGAATCTTAGACCTACCAGCTGCTGTTAATCCTATCATTTTCTTAACATCATTAGTCCTTATATGACAACTAAATCAAGTCTATTATTTTACAAACAATGATAAGCAACTTTGCGTGACCACCATCTCTGATTGCAGCGAAGCATACTGGACTTACTACCTCTAACTGAATCACACTGTCAACAGTTCAAACATTTTTCACAAATATTCTCAGAAGGAATACGTCTTGCTCTAAGTCCATATACAACATATAAGTACTTGTAGGACTACATCTGTATGTAATACTATACTTTGTTCTAAGGATGCTGTTAAAGAAGACAGTGGAGTACAGAATTAGCTAACGATGTAATTTTATCATGGAGTAACTATTCTGCACTAACTCCCTACATAAATATTTATTCATCGCTGGAGCTGGAGAACTTCATATTTTTCCTTCAGTAAGCTAAACTGTGAAAGGTCATTTGTAGTACAGTATAAAATTGTTCATATAAGGAGTTAGTGCTGAATAGCTATTACACTTTAAATTCATACCATAACTTATTTTATGATAGTGTCCTCATGTAGACAAGCCTCAGTATCTCCTTCAGTTAATGAAATTATTCATTCAAACATCCTACAAGAACAAATGAATGTAATTCAGTCCCAATATTTGCACTTGAAGCATCTTCATAATAATGTTGTCTCCTTCCTATGAAAATGTTAACCTAAACCACTTACAGTAGTCATGATGTCGCATACCCACTCGTAATCCAGAAAAAACTTTCATAATGCTCGACTTTAAGTAATTCACAAAATTAAAAAATAATTAACTGTACAGCTTTTTCCTCACAAAAGTACTCAACAAAGGTTCATGAAGAAAATTTTTATTAGAATTTGAATGTAACCTTGCTTTATCACATAGACCACCCATCAAATTAAATCAGTAATTCCAAGTTTGAATACAAAGATAGTGGAACTATCTGCAAAATCATTAGTATTCTTCCCCTCTAAAGAATGTAACAACCCATTACACTGTCAAAATATTTTAAAACCAGGTGTGCCATAGTATTCAGTTACATATGCTTTGCATTTTCACTTATTTCCAGAGACTTCTGCATATTTTACATATAACAACAGAAGTCTCAGTGCGTTCTCTACACTCTAGTTTCCTTAACAGCAGGAGTTCATTAATGTTATTTCTCCATTCATAGTAAACAGGAACACAAGTTCTTCACTGTCTTTACAAGTTAAAGATACAGAAGTTTGGCAACATTCTTAAAATTTGCTATAAGAATACATCCATTCAGCATACCTTAAAAAAAATAAAAAAATCAAACCACAAATTAGTCAAAAAGCATCAACTAAGTATTTGAAAAAGCACAACCACAGCTGAGAACATAAATACACTCTAGATCACTCCTTCAGGGAAAAGTTTCAAGGAACAGATGGGCTTTACACTATTGCCTCGAGTTAAACAGGCTCAGTCAGGTTTTGACACAGACCCACAGAAGGAAGCAAATTCCAAGTGCAAGAACCTCTGGTGAAAATGTTCTGTTTCCATGAGCCAGATGTTGAACCTGCAGGGTTGAACCCAAGAATACATCCATAGATTTCAGTTGTCATGAAAGTGCAGAGGGAAATTCTCAGACAATGACTCCATGACAGGATCTTTAGAGATTCACAGGAGTCTTATGATTTCTATAAAAAGCATCAAGAAGGCAAATATAAGTTTTGAAGAACAATTTTACTTCTGCTACTTTCATCAGTAATTCCAAAATTCAGAATCAACTCCTTTACACACACACAAACGTATGTGTGTGTTTGTGCATGTGTGTAGGTGTATATAATTATATAAAAATATATCTAAAATATCAATATTTAGAGGTATTCACAGTGTGAACTACATGAAGAGTAGGAATTCTACACAAGAATTTTGGCAATGACTATGGCAGAAACAGCAGACAATCTCATGAGAAAGGGATGGCAGAAAAATGCCACCCAATAGAGCATGCTAACAGCAACTCAGAAACCAGAAGCATCTAAAATCAGGTGTATTTAGGGATATAAACTGCTTTTTGAAACATCAGAAAGCATTCATAGAAAATAATTTGGTAGGAGCCACACATCACGCTGAAAATACACAGCCCATGCTCTGAACGCTACATGTTATTTGGTTTAAAAACTCAGACAACAGCTGAAACATATGAAGCCTCAGAACTAGAGACTAGTTCATACAATAAAAACCAACCTGCTTCCCTCTCCTGCAAACAATAATAGCCTCACAAATGTAGACACTCCACCCTGAAATATGTCAAGTCCAGTCCATCACTAAGTCATCGCAATATAATTAGAATTTAAAATACAGAAAAATTACAGAACCAATGAATCTTCTTCACTGTTCCTGCAGGTATCATTATCAGGCAGCATCTTTCCAAAACTACGCAGACTCAAACTAGTTTTTGTGTTACTTTTAGTTCTCATTTCTTCTGCTGGGAATCTGCAAGCAGTTCTGCAGCTGCTAGCTGGGCCCCAGCGTAATTGTAGGGAGAGAAACAGAAACAAACCACCAACTAAATTTTGCTGACAACTCTGCTTCTCATGCAGTGTTAATTTGATCCCTCAGTGCCTATCACTTATGATACAGCTTTTTACAACATGATCAGAGAGTATTTCTTCAAGGTACTTAACTTTTCAATGTATGTGAGAGACAAGAGATGGAGCACAGAACTGCAAAAAGACAGATGACAATCTTGCATTTAAGAAAATCTGAAACAGATTTTCAGTATAACAAGGAACAGAATTATCATAATGTATATGTACAACAAGACTACATTAAGGTTGGAACAGGCAACTTCTGATGCTTAACTCCGCAACTTTAATATTCTTAATACTTCTGCACGTAATTTTAAAAGTACTATTTAACCTGTCTTGCACTGCAGTGGCCTAAACTCCCAGGAATACCAACAGGCACTTTGCCATTGAAAGATGGCAGGCTAAGCCTCAGTAAGACAAACATTATTAAGTTGAAACACATTAACACCATTCCACATGCTTATCAAATCCAGTTATAAGAAAGAAGTTTTACTAAACCAAAATTAAAGAATTGGTGAATTATCACTGCAGTAAAATTTTATTCCGTATCAACTATTCTTTTTTCAGTATTACCACCAACCATCTTTTATATTTTAAGTTTTCCACTTTGAAGTATATAGGACTCTTTTGCTTGAAATGCTTAAAGTGTTTCACTTCTCATTCATTAGTTTGATAAGTTTACAAATTATCTTCTGATTTTCACAATGCATTTTTAGGTGAACACAACGGAGATGCTCATTCAGTGACATAAGTGCAACTTACTGGAAAACATAAAAGATGATTTCTGAAACACTGGATCAATCTTCAAATATCCTCTTCATAAATCATCTGAAATTATCTTCACCTAATAATACTTCTGTATGTTGTAAAAATGTGCTGTTAAATTAACTAGATCTCTTTATCTCTACAAATTCTGATAAAATGAAATAATAATTTCATTCAAAACAAGCTAAATTAAAGATTAAAATAATTGTTTAATGCTTCTCATACTGCTGCTGATTCTATTCTATGCAGAAAAATGCAACTTTAAATTCCAAACTAGCAGATGTTTTTCATAGAATTTTAAATAGCTGCAAACTGACAGAAAAGACAAACGCTTTCTTTTTGTTAAACAAATGAGAATGATTAATCAGTGATAAAAGAACTTGTACTCGGAAGTAAATGTAAAAACAACTTTAGAAGACTTTTAACAAAATAAAAAATATTCTAAACCCAAATGAATTAAGAACTGATTTATGACATTCACTGTTGTACCAGTACGCTTACGCATCCAGTAAGAAAATACACAATGTAACTTGAAAAATAAATTACGCACTGGCTATACCATTGCACAAATTCTGCAGTAAAATAATTCTGCAGGGAAAAATATTTTTGTGAATTTACAGTACTTTCTTTTTGTTCCATACTTCATTCTCCACCATTACTAAAAGATGAAAGGGGCAAAAAATAGAACCAAAAATAGAAGAACAAATATAAAGCAATAAAAAGTGAAATGTAATTACTTAGATAGTTGGTATTTGCAGGTACATCCCCAAAAGGCAATCAACATCTATAAAAAACACATACACTTCAAATTAATACACAATATAATTTTACAGGCCCTGATGCTCACATGCTTAGTTTCATTTACTGAAGTAGCCCTTCAAAGCAATGAACTCAGTGATAGTGCACAAGACTCAGGCTATAATTATGGTCTTTCTAAGAGGTGCCACCAGTACGGCCACGCACGTGCACTTAAATATTACATATCACACTGACAGAAAATTTTTGCACTGTTTAACAGATCTCAATCCATGTTGCCTTCTTTACTTATTAATATACTAATTAATCAGGGACAGAACAATCATACCCTACTATAACACTATTTAAAAAAAAAAAAAAAATTTTTTTAT